ATTTTGTTGAGGGTTTTCATACAGGACATGTTGTATCACTGAGCAACCGTGCGGGCGGGTGGCCTACGCTATGGGCGGCGAGGAGACCGACTTTTGGAATCGTCCAGAAAGTACGCCCGCATTTCTGGGATGCATTGGGCAAATTACGGGAGCTCGACGCCTGCGACACTCGGGGTAGGCCACCCTGCGGTGCACGTCTGCACTGCATGCAAGATGTTGCCTACCTATCAGGCGCTATGAGGCCTGGCGGTGGCCGAGCCGAGAGCTGAGAACTTACTTCAACTTCAGCTGATAGTCCAGTCATATTGTGTTTTGACCCGGACAATTGAACATGTTCAAATTTGCGTTAAAGTCATGTTTTCCATTGTTCGAAATTCTTTTATGAACTTTGAGATTTAATTGCGGCCAAACCAGTAGGAAATCACGAAAACCATATCCGTGACGTCCAAGGCACAAGTCTGATTAACAAAATGAGCTTTGAACGGAATTTCTGCGACCAAAATTGACGTAGCTATGGCCCGGTGACTGCGGTGCGGGCGAGCTGCGCTGCGGTCCCGGGCCCAGGGGACAGCCTAGGCGGTCCACCGATACTTTCTTTTCCAGCTCGCTAGTTGGCGGTACTGGGATACTGAGGAGTGCAACAGCGAGTGCACGCGCAGCCCCTGTGCCTGGTATAAACGACCCTAACGGGTTCCCTTATAAACAGGGGAGACGTAGAACACAATTAATGTTGTGTTAGGGATATAAACTCGCTCTTTAACTCAAAGTATACGGCAGAATCAACCAGACAAAGTGTCCGCCTCTCGCCGTGACGTAACGAGTTGAGCCACTGCAAGGTCTCGTAGCGCCTAGATGGTAGGCAAAATCTTGCCTACCGAGCCGTGCATATGCGTGTACTGCGGGATGAAAAGTAAAAGTAGACAGAAATAGATCTGCAGTATCTTGCAGTTATCACAACGCACACTCGGATTCTGCCAAACCGAAAACATTCCGTCGTTCGCTAATGGCACCTGGGCGCGACAAAAGCCGAATGCCGAATATAAGAGCCGGATGACTTTGGTGTTAGCGTCAGTTCTGCTCTTCTGATCTGAACCATACGACACACACCATGAGAGCCACCATCGGCACCATCCTGGCTCTGGCCGCTGTGGCCTTAGCCAAAAACATTGGATTCAACGACATGGAGAGGATCGTCAAAGTCTACGGTAAGTCCCTGAGGAAAATGCATCATGCCCCGCCCCCCTTTGCCCCCCCC